AAAGACAGCAGATGAATAATATCCTCCACAGGCAAAGAAGTTCTTTGTCCCAGGAAAGCATCTTCTCTGAGTCTCTCCTCTGCAACTTTAACGGCAAGATCAACTGGGATTTTAGTGAAGAGCGAAACAACGTCGAAAGATACTAATTCTTCACAAGCGTTAAGAGTTTTACCTCTTACGAAATCCGCAAATTCGCAGGAATTTTTGACAGTGTACTCAGTATTCCCAACAACAGGCGACAAAATTCTCGCAAGATAACCAGAAATTGCATAAGTCGGAGAATTAACTAAAGAGACAATGGGTCTCAAAGGAATTCCCAGTTTATGAATTTTAGGTAAGCCATAAAAACGTGGACATAAGCCGTCACTACTATATAACATTTTGTACGTAGTCACTAATTTTACCGGCTTTTTTCAAATCAAGCAACATTTTGTTTGATAAAATTTCCGCACAGCCCCATACTATTGTAAAATAAATCTGTTTTCCCAACGGCAATGTATTGTTTTTGTCATTGTTTTCTCTATCCAATAACTGAATGTATAATGTAGGATGGGGCTGTGCGGAAATTTTACCTTTTGTTTAACTTTCTTTGAGACGGTTTTACTGGTAGGATCAGAGTTTAAGACAGCATATGTACTCTTGTCATTAAGCAGAGACAAAGCTTTGTCGTGATACTGCTGTTTGTCCGTAACCACAACACAATTACCCTTGTCAGCAGATAATACGAGCCTGTCCGGATCCTTTTTGAGAGCTATAAGCGCATTGAAAACATCCTTTTGAATGTTTTTGGGAGGAGGTTTAGCACGCCTGAGTATGCTACTTACTTCTGCTCTTACCAAATGCCTACGGTCGTCGTTGAGTTGAGAGATACTCTCCTCAACAGCGGCGACAATTTCGGCAGTCGGTATTTTGCGAGGAGCAATAGCAAACTTCAGACCCTTCTCTAAACTACTCCGTTCCAGCGCGGATAACTCCTTGGAGGAAAGGTTCATGACCCATTTATCTTTCAGAGATGAGCCTGGATTAACAGGAGACCTCTTACTGAGCAAATGACGGAGATTTCTGTCGTGTTTCTTTCCCTGTTTGGTAAACGTCTGCAGTTCTTTTGAACTGCAGAACTCCTCGACCTAGGAGGTTTCGGAGTTGTTAATCAAAGCAGAGAGTTCCCTAAGTGAAAGAGAGAATAACGCACGCAAACGCAGTATGGATCTGTGACATTCATCTATTCGTAGCTTAAGAAAAGAAAAACCAGTACGGACCATGAGCTTGTATCCTTTTGCACTACTCTTATGTTCGCGAGCCGGTTGACCCTTGTAACAACAGTTTGACCATACTTTTCTCCGCCCACACTCCTTTAAATCGTGACGATGGCCGTTTGCTTCCTGACGCCCATTTACACCTCGTCAGAAAAAAAAGGCCGCTAATTAGTGATCATATAAAAGGACCTCTTGTTGCAGCGTTTAGATCACCCCTGATGAAGGCACTAGAAAGGAGTGTCGAAACGTTGGGTCTATGAATTGTAACTTCTTCGGTTACATTCATTAAATCTGTAAACCATAGTAGCATCAAACTATGTCCAAGTTCTGGTACCTTTAGAATTACCCTGCACCCACGGGACTCCTGCAACGGTCTTAAGCTCTGATTGGTTAATATTTTTTCTTCGCCTTTTTGCCGTTTTAAGAACTACCCATGACGCGCTTTAAGTATCGATACAGTGCTTTATTTTTAAATAAAATCGATGCACAGAGACACCTTTTAGCCAAGATTGGAACTACGTTTGACGTTAGAAAAAATATATATTGAGAAGTCCGATACAATTCCTATAAGGCGAACTGAAAAAAGCAAAGTTCTCCCAGATGCCATATTCTCAGCTCTTTTAAAAGCATTTTCGGTGAACGATGGAGGGACCAGATTCATCATATTGTTGCTTGGAAATCCACATCTGTTGGGAGGTGGACAGTGACGCCAAAATCGACCCTCCGATCCACACAGAGTGTTTACGCTCAGGAGGAGCAATAACCTTGATCTTCATTGTGGGTGGAGCCAGAGCAGAGATTTCCTTCTGCATTCTGTCAGCGATTCCTGGGAACATGGTGGAGCCACCAGTCAACACTATGTTGGCGTACAAGTCCTTACGGATATCCACATCACACTTCATGATGGAATTGTATGTGGCCTCATGGCTGCCGTGGGATTCTATTCCAAAGAAAGCGGGTTGGAACATGACTTCTGGTCCACGGAATCGTTCGTTGCCAACAGTGATAGCCTGGCCGTTAGGAAGCTCGTAACTCTTCTCCAAGCTGGAGCTGGAGGCAGCAGTCTGCATTTCTTGTTCGAAATCCAGAGCAACATAACAGAGCTTCTCTTTGATGTCACGCACGATTTCGCGCTCAGCTGTCGTCTCGAATGGGTAACCACGCTCCGTAAGAATCTTCATCAGGTAGTCGGTCAAGTCCCTGCCGGCCAAATCAAGACGAATGATGGCATGGGGAAGAGCGTAGCCTTCGTAGATGGGAACTGTGTGACTGACACCAGGGAGCTTAAGCAACCACGACGACGACGCCGGGTACGACGCCAAGTAAAAAATGAATTAAAATTTTATGAGCGAAATTCACAGTTGTCTAGATCTGTTCGGTTCGTTAATGGCTCTAAAATCGTGCTCGAGCTAAATGTGCAATGGCGGCGTGTAATTCCAAATGGAAATACGAAATATTAGCCGTCGTCGTCCACGTTCCGTACAGGACGCAGAATTTGGTCATTTCACGTTGTTGTTTTGCAGAGGATGGCAAAGAAATGTACAAAGATTTATAACGCACGTGCATAGCCATTGTTCTGCTCATTAAACCTTTTGTTTGATGACGTTCTCGTTGCCGTCGTCGTCGTGGTTTGCTTAAGCTCCCTACCATCACCGCTGTCAAAGACGATACCGGTTGTTCGACCAGAGGCGTAGAGAGACAACACGGCCTGGATAGCTACATACGTGGCTGGGGAGTTGAACGTCTCGAACATTATCTGTCAAATAAATATGTCACTGGCATATAAACTTTTGAGGAGGTCATTATTCCCTTTCAATAACTATTAATTCAAAAATTATTTTGTTATGGATCAATAACGATGTCAATTTCATGGCTATTTTCAAACAAAAACGCAATAATCAAAAATCAGTTTATGCAATTACTTCTCGTTGTTTTGATTGTGCTTCCAAAATCTTTGAACCATTGAATGTCTTTCATTCTAGTGTTCAAAATTTTGTGATTACGTTAAATGTCTCTTATATAACTTGACCAGGCAAACAAAATGGTTTTAAATCTGACCAATCAGTACGTTTCATCGCCTTATAAGGAAGAAATATATATATTGTGCAAGTTTAGAGATCTAATAGGAAAAATGAATTGTGATTTTTAATCATAAAGCTCTCAGAATAAAGAGTTAACTGACCTCTGCCTGGCGAAAAAGCACTACCCTTTGGACATCGAGAACTTAACGTGAATCAAACAAAAGTTGTACAGAATGTATTGTGCACATTTCTTTGGATTTTACGGTAAAGTAATCAGTCTGCTAAGGGGCAAAAAATAGAGCAAAATCTGGTTAAGAACAACGATTTTACCTGTGTCATCTTTTCTCTGTTGGATTTTGGATTTAGCGGAGCCTCTGTCAGCAGAACTGGGTGTTCCTCGGGCGCTACACGTAGCTCGTTGTAGAAGATGTGATGCCAGATCTAAAATTGTAAGGAAATCTTGTTAAGCGATAATTAAGGGCGTGTTGAGTATTCGTGATAAAGAATTTAGTGTACCTTTTCCATGTCATCCCAATTGGTTACAATGCCAAATTCCATGGGATATCTCAGAGTCAGAATACCTCACTTGCTCTGAGCTTCATCGCCGACATACGAGTCTTTCTGACCCATACCAACCATCACACCATTGTGCCTTGGACGACCGACGATGCAGGGAAACACTACACGAGGAGCATCGTCCCCTGCAAAACCGGCCTTGCACATACCAGAGCCATTGTCCACAACCAAAGCAGCCACGTCTTCGTCAGCCATTTTAATTCAGAGTGGTAATGCAGCGTGTGAATCAAGCTTTCAGTCGGAGAGCTCCACTTGCGTTGTGACGATCCGACAAAGTAAGGGTTTGACATCAGTATTGAATTATTTCTGATACAGCTTCGTGACTGTTCCGTCTGATTGGCTGGTCCAAAACATGTGACATAAGTTAGAACCCAATCGGTCTTTTTGTTATAGATGTGTTTGTGTTCCGGAATATGCTTTGCTTTTTCTGTTTTGTCTCAAGGCTTAATCTGGAATTTCTTTTCTTCCCGATTCAGTCCAATCAACGCGTCCATTTTTTGTTGAAGTTATCTTTGGCAGTAGTGTATAAAATAAGAAGCAATGCAATAAAATTGTGCAAATACACCGCCACAAAAAAAATAATAATAATAATAAAATGATAATAATAATAAAACGATCCGACAAAGTAAGGGTTTGACATCAGTATTGAATTATTTCTGATACAGCTTCGTGACTGTTCCGTCCGATTGGCTGGTCCAAAACATGTGACATAAGTTAGAACCCAATCGGTCTTTTTGTTGTAGATGTGTTTGTGTTCCGGAATATGCTTTGCTTTTTCTGTTTTGTCTCAAGGCTTAATCTGGAATTTCTTTTCTTCCCGATTCAGTCCAATCAACGCGTCCATTTTTTGTTGAAGTTATCTTTGGCAGTAGTGTATAAAATAAGAAGCAATGCAATAAAATTGTGCAAATACACCGCCACAAAAAAAAAAAAATAATAATAATAATAAAATGAACGTCACTAAAGAAAACTAGTCTTTGAAAATCTGTATGTATAAGAGAAAAGACACAAAGCTAAATTAGATAAGTCTAGTCACGGTTGATACTAGGAACAGATTTTATTCATAGAAAAGCAATATGCCTGTTCGTTATAACGTTGGTCAAATTCATCTTGGTAAAAACAAAAGCCACTTTCAACAAGCACTCCCTCGGGAAATCATTATTTTTTATGCAAAACATTTTATGGTCTTAGCTCTTAGATAATTAACGCTATTTATTCATTTCATTTGATGTGAATGTTATTGTAATGTCCCAGTGGTATTTCCTCCCTCACAGGTCCGCTGACCGCAAACCTATCGGTACAGGAAACTAACGCCTTGTCCCTAGGTAAGAATGGAGCGCGGCACTTTAGCAACAAATGTCGCATAACCGAGTGACTGTCAGCTACTCCGTTTGGATGGAAAGCGACGCCGGAGGGGGGAAAAAATTAGCAATCAAAAGGAGCTCAAAGAGTTTGTTTTAACCGGTTTAAATGTTCCTTTACCCGTTGTGCGTGGGACAATTAATTTTTTTCGGTGTGGACATCGTTTAATGATTTTTCAACTTTTTATAAGATTTTTTAATTCCTTTCAGTATTTTATCATAAGTAAAAATTCCCAGCTAAGGAATATGCAGCCCTTGAGTAATTTGTGGCGAATAACCGTTCAGTTTCATATTTCAGTACACATCTCGCACGCTTTTTTTCTGTTTCCTTTGGGACTCAACTGATCCTTTCTTTTACCTCGGACTCTGGGCAACAACAGGTAGGCGTGCGCTGACGACTACGTCAGAGATTGGATTGTTTTGGAAATCCATATTCATGGAACTGTAGAATTTGCATCAAACAATACAGCCTGTGGACAGATGAAGCAACTCAAGAACTCGAAGCTTGGAATGTTGGTAGTTTTTATTTTCAAGCAAAGGTAAGTTCTGGTTAAGTCAAGGAAATTGTTGGTTCAATTTGGAGAGTTTAATCCCCCCTAACGGCAATAGTCGAAACCAACCTCGCTGAGCACGTGGGCAAGGTTTCGCTCTTCGCTTTGTCATCAACTTAGAGCTACACATTCAAGTCAAAGAAATTTCGTTTGAGAGTTCCTATATATATATATATATATATATATATATATATATATATATATATATATATATATATATATATATATATATATATATATATATAGATTTGACTAATGCGAATTTTTCTGGGAGAAATTACTCATTATATTACGTTCGGTTTTGAATTTAACACAACATAGCCAAGTGCTACCCATGCTTGTGGAGGAAGCTCTTTTAAACGAACATTAAACTCTTTTTCGGTTTATTTTTGCAATTTATTTGTGAAAAAATGAAAAAACTATCACTTTTGTGTCTCAAATTGCTGGTTGACAGTTATTTGTTTGATATAAAAGTTAAATTTATGTGACACCGTGGTGAACTCGTGGGTATACTGTGCAGAATACGCTAAGAATATTGTACTAAAAGAAAATTATCTTGTGATCCAAGAAACGGAATTTAGCCGTCATCTCCATAAAAGTCTTCCCTAACTGAATCACCATATTTGACGGGATTCATGCTTTCCCCTGACTCTTAGGGCCTGCTGACGCCACGATACTTGCATATGGAATCCCCGCATTACTCGTTTCCATGCTTTGCATGTCCACGAGTAAAAATGGCGAAGTCTCTAAACATTATTTCCTTCTCATTCTAGTTGCAGGAAGATTGAGATTTGGTCAATAAAGAAGACAGAGGAGCAAAGAAACAGAAGGCAAACTAGAATCATTAAAGCGAAAGGGAAACTCCACTAAGATAAGAATTTTAATATCACTACAAACTAGTCAAACGGTGGCTGCCTGAGTTTTGAATTTTTTTAGGGTACCTTAACTAATATAAATTGTGCAAAAAATTAATTTTCTTGAATACAGAAAATGACAGCCACTGAGGGAGGTGGAATTTTTTTAAGGTGGCAATTTATGTAAAACGACAAATAGATGGTGACGAACAAAATAATGCAGAAATGTTCTGGATTTTTCGAAAAGCCACGAGCAAACATTTTATCGTTGTGTTTTTTCACAAATGTCTCAGTCAAAAATAAAATTCCAAAGTAGATATTCTTCCATAATTTGTCAGCGAAATATTTAATGCCACCTCAAAAGATTCGCTTTTTTTAATTGTATTTTTGTAAGAGATAAGAGAACCCAGGCAACCAAAAACAGAGCTGTTCGACTAAACGACTCGTAAAAGTTGAAATAATAGCTACCAGTACGTACTTGTGACTCGACAAAAAACACTTTGGTGACACTACGTTTAAGGCTGATGATTTACAAATACCGGCGCTATCCATGTTCATAATAACGATTAGAACCCTCACAGTAGTTTGTCACGCGTAAATTGAGAAATGTAGAAGAATTCGTTTTCCAGAAAAACCAAGGTACACCGACAGACAATTGGACTTTTCATTAAGCGACAAGGAAATTCTGAAATGTGACTTGTTTAAATCAATGGTGATTAGGACTGATTTGAAATACTCAAATGACAGCGTGATCCTTATGGTGACCGTTAAATCATCATTATTGATTTGAAACAATGCCAAATGGACTTTGCAGTTAAGACACGAAACAACGGCAAGAACGTATTGCGTGGTCGTTACATCTTCGGGAAGGGGAGGAGGGGTCGGGCGATTTTGGTCGTGTCACGATGAACTGTACCCCATTATCCCACAAGGCTCTATGATCCACCCTCATTGGCAGTTAACT